CCTTTGACAGTGGCTTGATGCTCCAGTGCCCTCCAGACTTCTTTATGCGACGTTCGGCAAAACTGGCGCCTCGGTTTTCCAGCGTTTGCGGCTATGGGAGAAAAGTAGAACTGTCTTCCTGCAATAGACCAGTGTTTGGGTGTGGGGTAAGGGGCACAGTCTGAGGAAAGGGAACTGCTCACCGGATCGAGGGAATTGTTTGGCTGACGTTTCGAAGAGCTTGGGCGGCTCTCCATTATCAAGGCGTCTAGTGTAAAAATCGATCAGAATTTTGAATACACAGCCGAATTAGTTGGCCTTGGGCTGAGCGATTTTTTTCTTCCTTTCGCTGCCCTGGCCTACTGGCCGTCGTTTCTGAGTGTTGGTGGCCTCCTGTGTCATGTGTAGACACCTCATGAAACCTCAGCAGTTGTCTATCAAATACGTTGTAACGATGGAGACTGCAACTACGTTGGGGAAACCGGACGGAAATTGCACACCCGCCTACATGAGCACAAACTGGCAACTCGGAGACTAGGCTCAACTTCACAGCTTGCGGCTCACATCGGAGAAACTGGCCACAGTTTTAACATTCAAGGAGCAGCCGTCTTAGGCCGGGGCACCTCAAGGACTGAACGTTTCACACTTGAGGCTTGGTGCCCAGTTGCCAACTCCATCAACAGACATCTAAACCTTCCTGCGGCCTATAAAGTCCTGCGTCACTAGATACGCCATAACGAGGACAAGACAGTCATACGGAGCTGACGAATGCCGAGCCAACACGGCCTGTCAACCCATTCACCCAAAGGGGAGGGGGCACAAACGCAACTAACCCCAATTTAGGTGTCTACGCATGACACAGGAGGCCACCAACACTCAGAAACGACAGCCAGTAGGCCAAGGCAGCGAAAGGAAGAAAAAAAATCGGCCAACCCAAGGCCAACTTATTCGGCTGTGTATGCAAAATTCTGATCGATTTTTGCACTAGACGTTTTGATAATGGAGGGCCATCCAAGCTCTTCGAAACATCAGCCAAACAGTTTCCTCAATCCGGTGAGCAGTTCCCTTTCCTGAGATTACCAACCCAGATCACTTAAGTTTGCTAACCTAAGAAGCAAAGTATACTGCATCACATCTTCCGTCGGCTATTTTTAGACTTCCTTCGGGGGCCCATTCAACTGCTGCACAGTGGAGCAAGGTAGCATGTTTCCGTAGGGCTGTCTTAGCTGGATGGTTAGTTTGGATGCTTGGGAGTTCGGAATTTTTTAATTACCCTTCCCTTGGAGACCTGGAACTTCATACACCAACGTGCAGCAGCTATCAGAAGCCTATCGTGAGAAAACAGGTGGGGAAGTATGCCTTGTTTCTAACCGGAGTAATCCATTGCGACAGCGCTGAGTGAAATCTCGCCCTTTCCATGGGAGGTTAAGTGACTCCTCTCGGGGTTACTCTGAGTTAGCACATTTATTTCTAAAAAAATGAGAAACACCGAAATTAATGTACTGGATTATCCTCCAGTAGACAGCTGGAGGGCTCACTGATGACTCAAACACCTGGCGGTTGTGTCATGAAGGGGCAGAATATCAGCGAAACCTGTGTACTTGGGTTTTTAACTAGTACCTGTACTGTCAGTATCGTAAATCACGCAACGTGTGGCACGGTTGCATAGGAGTAGTGCCCACCTCTATATCCCGTCTACAGGACAAAACGGAGACAATTGCGTTTCTGGTCTTTTAACTCCGGGTTAGAGCCTCCGCAAGCAGTGGCGTAGCAATAAGCCGTCAGTAGCCGGGAACCGTGGTCGAAATAGGCACGAAATTATGAAATAATGGTTTATTTTTCTTTGTCTCCTGTTTCACTTGGCCGTCAAGTAGTTGATCTGCGAGCCCGCTGTCCTTTTCATTCCCCCTTCTTGTTTGTATCACCCACTGTCCGTTGGCCGTTGCTAGGCGACCGCATGTGAAGGCTCTAGAATAGAACTTTGGAGTTAAAAATCGAATCTCGTGTATACCACTCTGTAATCGGACGGAGCAGTGAACATCTGTCTCACCGGAACTTTAATATACTTGATCGCGGATGACGAGACATGGGTCAGTGCTTCATGCACTAAGACACTTTTACTCAAATCCTTGGTGATTTGTAGGGCGTGACGTCTGCTTGCCCTCAACTGATGATGGCAAGCGGGTCGGAACTGATCGTTCCTGCCGCCCTTGTTTTTGTCGGCCTAGGTTAATGCGATTATTTAACAGGATGGCGGAATAAGTGGATACGTGGCAGACGTAGAACGCATATGGATGTTCCAGACTTTCACCTTACAAGGCACATTCAGTCCTGGAAATTTTCAACTAATAAAAATTTCCCATATGAGCTAAACTTCGAGAAAAACAGCATTAGGGCGAGTTTGGTTCGTTGAGTGATTATCCCTTTCGGGGAAAACAACCGTAACCTACAAGCACGACAGATAAAAACGCAAGGCACCTTTGTGCCAAAATTCGTGAAATGGTCGGATATTATTGCGTAGCCGCACCTGAGGTAAACAATCCCCAGCCCTCTGTCATACGGGACCGGTGGTAATAGGGGGTTTAACAATAACCCCTAACCCTAACTTCTAAAACTAACCCCTAACTCCAACCCCTAACCCTAACCCCGAACACTAGCCCTTAATCCTAGACCTTAACAGGTGCGGCTACGAAATAAGATCTTACCGGCGAAACAACGTACGACATTTTAAGTTTTCAAATGGAAAAGACTGTTTATTTGTGATTGCATTCGCAAGCGTGAGAGAGCAGACTTCCAGGGTTATTGCAATGCGATAACATTCCGACATCTGTCTAAACACCTTCTCAGGCATTTGTGCTAAGTACACCCAAGAATAGTAATTGTTATGCATTCACCCACTGATTTTCATCGCCCGTAATTACTGCATTACGCCCACTCAAAGGAAAACTGTGTCATCTCCTAGATCAACATTTGAAGTGGCGGATTTTTCTGAATTATCCGAACTATTTGAACCAGTCACGATTTTGGCCCTCAGGCACATTAATACTCCCTATAAAGTGCGCAGCTATTCACCTTCGTTTTAATATCCCTCGAGAACTGGCGGCCAACCTACAAGAATGTGTAGGATTTTGGTGAATATCTACCGAAGAACATGCATATTCTGAGGTTTAGAGAATTTCAGAGTGGACGAATACACTAGTAAAGTTTCGAAACATACAGGCATTTGCAAATTTTCAAACAAAAATGCTGCTTTTATCCGCATAAATACTTTAGGAGAATATAACTTTTTGCAAGATGGTCATGGTATATTTGCACTTGGTGCGTGTTCTCATTCAATATTACTGCAGTAACATGAGCTTTACAATCCTCAATTAAGTTTAGAGGGAGACCGTGATGTAGATTAGGAGTTGTTTCGTATTAACAAGCTCCTAACAGTTCGCTGTTGGCGAGGTCCCCTTGAATTGCGCAGGGGAAATTACCGCTAGCAAGGTCTCAAGGCCCATAGGAGACTGGAATAGTCATTGCTGCCTTATTGTTCCTCTCAACGTCAAATTTGTGATCCCTGAGGCTCAAGCACGCGTTCTGTCTACCAGAGGTTCAACAGGTGCTCAGTGACCGTGGTTGGGTGCAGGGGTGTTTAATTGTGATTTTAGTTGTTGCCTCGTGAGTGTTAGCGCACAGTGCAAACGACGTCATCCCGGAACCTCTAAATGAAATTCTATGGACGCCCAGTGAATGCTTAAAGCTTGGTCCAGGAGCAAATAAGATGATAAAGACAGCAGAGCCCTCAACTTTAATAGCATGACCAAGTTATGTCGTCCGCGTAGGCCTGCTTTGTGCCGTGCAATGTTTTTTCTGTAAATAAGGTCTTAAAATTTTTAAGGAATGGGAATGCGGTGTCGGGCTTTTGCTGGTCAAGGCCAAAAATCAGGCCAGTGAAAAAAGCGCAAGACTCAATAAAATGTGATGTGGGCGACATAGCTAAATATAATTTGTTATTAGTTAAAATGCCCTTTTGTGAATTATATTTTACCGGTCTGAAAAATAAACAAAGCTATTTAAGAATGCAAAGAACACCGTCGACGGCCTAACAAAAATTTAAAAAACCTTTTATTTCATTTAAATGCGCATCTCATAAAAACAGTCTTCTTGTGTTTGCCAAAGCTGCCAACCGATAATTCGAGCTCCCGCCAAATTAGACACTCAGTCTGCTGAGGCGCAAAAAAAAACAAAAATCATTAGAACTTCGAAGTTTGCTTCATTCTTTGGGTTCGCAGAAGTGCCATATATTATTTTCCTGTTCGGCTTTATGGGAATTAAAGTGCGTTTTAGCGCAGACTTCATAATCCGAGCCAAATACGTTTCTAAAAATGGATGAATGTTAATTCAAATTGTCTTAGAAATAGAATCAAGTTATTTATAAAACAACAAGTCTCTTCAACTACATGTCAAACGCATTAAAAAGTCACTAGCATGTATGCATCCGTGGAATATTGCACGGAAAAACCATCATTTTGCCTTCCAGAAGGCAAGGGTCATCGACCGAGCCAATGAAAAGATGGCCAGATTGCTGCTCGAAAGTTGGTCCTCGACTAGCACCCCTAACATAACCACAGAACTGCATCCTGCCTACCAGACGCTAACGCTACGAACAAGGCTCGAGTCGGAACGGACAAGGTCACTGTAACGATCGAGTCCAAATAAACCTCCATCCATGAACTGTTCTCTTCTGTTTCGTCATTTTCATGGAGTGAGGAGCACATTATGCATATGTGTATGTGTGTATATGTATGCAGAATAACATTACCCACAAAGACAAGGCAATTTTATTTTTCCTGTATCAATAACCGTTATGAGGCTGCTATAAGGTCTCTAGATTGCGATCCAGGGCATAAAGGGACAAAATGTCTGGTAACGCGATAGGTGAGCACCCTGTTACCATAAGTTAACATAAGCATAAGTTAGTATGTTTAAAAAAGCTATATACCTAGGACATTTTATTATAGAAATAGTAATATATGTTACCTTATCAAAACACTGGGTTCCAGTGAAAGCGCCTGGTTCGTTTGAATATGTTTGATAATTACTTTATCACCAGCCTAAAATAGCAGTTTCCGAAAATGTTAAGAGTCTCACATGATGCAAAAAATAATAAGGATTGCGAGTTTAAGTTCACAAGCAATTTGCTATAACATAAAATCAAGCACGATGAGAGCAGGACGAACAAATTGAGAGCAACAGACCACTAGTACCCACACTTTCAGATTAACTCAAAATTATAAAAAAAACTCTTATTTCGACCTTAGCACAATGCTCCAATGACGTCCGAGTCAGAAAGCGTCCCAATCACAGAGTATTGCATACATGTGACTTTTCTTTGCAGTTTTAAAGCCTGGCTTGTCGTTAAACCTCATGCAGTTTTGACGATTCCTTAGTGGCCTCCATTATGTTTTTCTAAACATTAACGGAAAACGGTGTTCTTTTTCATATCTACCCGGACGAATGATAAGTGTGATGCTGTCCTATGGACTTGTAAACATTTGCTCTGCTCAATGCGTTAATAGAGGACATTGTGCAAACTACCAAAATGTTTCTTCTACAGCCGAACCTAGGCAAACTTTCTCCAAGTTTATTAAAATGTTCAAAACATTTTATCTTGTGTAAAAAATGAAAACCTCTCCTGATTTCAATAGTAATTATGAACAAATCCCAAGCTTGGTAGGAGAAAAACCAAAAACTCACGGGGAAGCTTGGCCGGGATTTTTGATATACAAAAATAAAAGCGTGAAGTTTTTTAATAGAGAATTGGGTGATACTAAAAAGTTCAAACTTATACCTATATCAGTTAACATGTCATACATTTCCTTACCTTTAAACACAGAAAATTAATCATTTGTCTTTTTACCCATGTCGATTTTTTAAGATTATAGGGATCAGGATGCTACTTAAACCCACAATTAACGTATATAAATGGGCTTTTAAGAAAAACGACTTGATAATCAGGATACCATGTTCCTTGGATGAGTTTGATTACCTTGACCGGAGTTCCTTCATACTCAAGACGTTCTTTGGGATTAAAGTGCTCAAGCTTCCAATGAAATACAAAGGGAACTTCGGTTTTCTTGGGGATTTTACCGTAAAACACTGCACATCCACCAGACTTTGGCCCGGGTTCGCCGAGAATTGAAGGTCTGCTACCAATGGCAATAACATTGGCGCTGTCGTTCAAGAAAGCTTTTTCCTTATCGGTCTCCTCTCGTTGTAAACACAAATAAACCGCTTCGCCATAAACAACACGGCGAACCGCAGTCGAATCGCCAATGCTAGGGATGTAAAAAGGTGTCCTTTAGCCAGAAAATATGAAATACTTTCACGAAAATTATCTAAAGGAAACGGTGAATGTACGAAATCACTGATTAGAACAATGATCAAATCCGCCTGGTTGTATCTTAAATACTAAAGTGCCATAGTTCACAACGGTACTTGTGCTAAGCAATCAATAAATTGTCCGTTGATTTTTGTTTAATTTAATTGCTGACTTGCCGCCTAAAGCCTTTCCAAATCTGCCAATTTTCATGATGAAAACCGAAACGAAATAAACGATTTTTTTCTAAATTACCTTTTAATGTAAAAACAATTCCTGAAAGACGGTTGAAAGGTCCTAGTGGCTACAGCAACCCCATTGGAAATTAGCTCATTGTAAAGGTCCTCTTCAGTTTTGAAAACATTTGGGGATGGTATGCAACCCAAAGAAAGACAGAAACTACGAATGATGTCTTCACCACTACTTGGAGTATCATTGACGTTGCATTGAATAAGGTAAGGTTCGTTGAACTGCAAACAGGAATCCTTCGACAGATTCTTTTAAGATAAAGCGTGCACAAATTACGAACTTTACAGTCTCTCTTCTGCATTAATGACTCAAGCATTTCGCATATACGGCGAAATTCAGATTCTTTTTCTTTTGTACGACTCAGGCACGCCTAAAGATAAAAGTATCATATTAAATTACCTCCTCTTCTATCTCATCCTCAAACCAATTTCCAATTCTAACTGGCAAATCATACGTACGAATCATGACGAACGTAGACGAGATTTAAAATACCACTGATTACATACAACTTAACGCAGTAAGCTCAAACGGCCTACGTAAAGGTCAATAGGTTGACTAGACGTTCACAGACCTTTACTTGTACAACTTCCTACGTTTTTTTGTTATTCGCATACATGTACCTCCAAAACATGTAGAATACTATCAAACAAGTGAAATCTCTTGTGCAAGTCACGAGACAATTCCGAAGAAAAGCTATGAATTAGACTATAACTCCAAAAACACGAAAACGGAAATAGGACGGAAGCACGACATGAACAAAGTAGACAGGGAAACAAGCAAGGAACAAGTAAATTCCTTGTTAATGGAAACTTTGCCTTATATTAAGGGCTTCAGGTCGCCAGCTATTAGAAATGACAACCTCGAGGAATAAAACTTACATTTAAAATTACATGCTTAACCCTGGAAGTTAAAATACAAATGCCTAAGGCCTTTAGCTCAAAGGGTACTACTGCTTCCTTTCTCCTTGTCAAATATTCCTGAAGATTTGATTTTATTACAACTAGCGCATGATTATAAGGAAGATGAGGCAATTGAGCAACTGCTTAACTCAAATGTATTTTATCAGGTTTTTGACTTTGAGAATTGTACGCTGCATATAGTAAAAGATGTCGGTCCTGAACAAGATAACTGGTCTCGCGTACATCAAATACACAAACGCTAGTTCTTTCCCACCAACTACTACCACAATACCAACTGAGTTTTTTCAAGTAACATCATTAGTCCGTGTTAGTTGCTTGGATATTGTGGATACAGTAAGAGTAATCTCTTGCACCCGCAAATTCCTCACGGCAATACCTTCAGATTTGCTGATGTAACAATCGATTCTCTTCCTTTTTATCGATAGGAATAGAGAGCTCAAGGGCGGAAGCTTTATTCTCTTAATAAACTGACTCAAACTGACTATTCTTTCGTTCTACTTATTACATGTAACCTTGCCTAGCACGCATAGGTTGGCTGTGCCTGGTAGCCGACTGTCACGATTTTCTCCAATTTGACAGCATGGAGGTGTGGACAGCTGCGATGGGAATTCACTGTCAACCGTCTCTTTTCAGTTGATTATTTCCCCGACCTGATCGGACCTAAATCTGCAGGGGAAAATGAGCGACCATTTCTGGATGACATCACGGACAACGATGCCTGACTGGAGGTCGGACACCTTCCGCTTTCTACCAGAGCATGAAGCTCCCAGCCCCTAACTGCCTGCGTTCATTTAGCTGTTTTCATTCGCACCATTCCATTCGCCACATTATTCACCAGCAGTTTTTCAGGCATAATTCTCTAGTATCAGGACCCTCTCGATTGTTACGTTGCATTGGTCTTCGTTTGCTTAATACAAAACCAACTGACGGAATGTAGACTGAATTAAAACAATTTCGATAAGTAGACGTGTTTCCGGCCGCAAGAATATATAGTCATTGAGCTTCCAGTCGAAGCTGACGGCGACACTGAATGAGGCCAAAATACGTGTTTACGTATTAAACGTATGATTTATACCTTGTTTGTGAAATGGAAAATTATGTCTTATGCGAGAAAAAAGGTTGGTCCGTGCAGGTTAGATTGTGAATGCAGAAGTGGAGTACCTTAAGTGTGCCCCGCTATGGGAGTAGGGACAGATGTGAATGCGGTTTTAGTGGGGATATGCAACGTGGAGCAAAAGCAGAGAGTGAAGCTGGAAGAGCGGAGAAAAGCTTCCAGAGGACTCATTCGAGGGAGGGCTCGGGATGCCGTCCTGAGGCAGCCCACGTTTACATATTCCCTATCATCATGTTATGTTTCAAAATGACTTACTGCCCCACAACAACGACCGTCGAAAGAATTCTGAAATGGCCAGGAATCTGTAGGGTAGTCTCGTAAACAAGTTCGGCAGTGGAGCACACAAGTCGGGTTTTAGCAAGGTGCGAATATCGAGCATGGTCAAAGAAAGATGCTCACTGAAATGAGTGGGGTTATCATAGGCCCGGAGCGAGGTTTTGAGCTGACGGTGGAAAGGTTCAACTAGGCCGTTGGACGGGGGTGGTAAGCTGTCCTGTGTATGCGGAAGCATCGAGGAGGTCAGTATGGGTCTTTATAAGTTTATATTCAAATTGCTGGCCTTAGTCGGTTTTAATAGTTGTGAGAACACCATAACAATATATCCTGTGTTACAAAAAAGCACGAGCGACAGTATCTGCAACGATGTTAATTATCAGAGTTGCGATGGGCCGTAGCATAAATCGGTCAATAGCTGTGAGCGAATACTTGATATCACGGGTTGCTGGCACTGGACCCCGTGCATATGTGTAAAAAGTGCGGCAGGTGGAAGAAAAGTCTTAACTGGAACCTTATTGTGCCGTCCGATTTTGGCTTCATTACAGATCAAACATCGGCGAGTCCACTGGCGGGTAGCAGTTTGGCCTGGGCCAGACGAAACGATCGCTGACGAAGCGCTAAGTAACCCATATGCCAGGGTGGGCAAAATTGTGTAACATGGTGAAGACATCTCATCGCATCTTCTTTGGTACTATAGTGCGAGAGAAACCGCGAGACACATCGCACAAGATTGTGTTGGAAGTGGCGAACAGAGGGATGGCTTTAACCTGAAGGCTAGTACGCTCTAGTTGTTCTGAAAAATCCGGCTGCTGCTCTAGCTCAGCCATGCCCTCCAGGTCGATGAAAGCGCAGGTAATGGCATTAGTTCCAGGCCGTTGTCAGCCGGCCATACCTGACCCCAGGTTTACAACGCCCGGGTTTCAAACCAGTCATCTTTACGCATTGAGTTCACCAATCTGCCACTGAGCCCTCAGTTCGACCGTCGATTCTGACAATGTCCACCGTCAGTTAAGTTACCGGAGTTAGTTCTCCCCAGCAGACCGGACTTTGGAACGGTGACTTGCGCGCGAAAGAGGTTTATTGTAAAAGCAGACTTGCTCTGCGTCTACCACACATCCTCTCTTCCTCCACTTACTTGAGCCCGACGTCACGAGGGACTCCAGAAGCCGGAGATGCGACCAGGCGCAGGTGGCCAGCGAGACGTTAGCCTGTATTTAGGCGTGCCACTATACCCCACACGTATTAAATTTGTCATAGCTGCGCAGCCAAAAAATACGTGCGGGATCCTGATTTAGTCCTCGTGTTGGTCCACTGCACCTACGGCGCGGCCTGTTCTAAGGGCAAATGCCAGTGAGTCGGGAGCCTATTGTCTAGTCCATTGTCATCAGGAATGTCAGTTACCGTAGTATGGACGCTCACCGATCGGGTTATGGGACCTGCTCATCCCGCTGTGCCTTGGGGCTCAATGTAAATTATTCACAGGCAGCCATATAGCGACCAGTAATTTATTCAGGAGGGGCCCATGGGTAGTGCTAGACTTGTGGCTGCCCGCTCTCATGTTCGTCCACGCCATCACTTTGCCCTGCCGCCTTCGGTTCGCGAAGTACACATAAGAAGCGTTGCGTCCACGCATGACTCAATCTCCGTCTTGCGACGCCGTGATACTGACCGATATTCTCCTCCCCACCAAATGACCGCAGCCAAGCGGACTTCGGGCACATGCATCCTGACCGACTTTTGCTTGGCGAGAACTTCAGATGCAACTGTTTGCGATGCTGTGTGTACACTCTCGGCCTCAGAAAAAAATTCGTCCGCCTAATTATCTTCGTTGCCTTCTGATTTAGGAACCTCCAAGTTGTCGACCATCGCACCTTCGACAAACTCAATGACAAAGTTCTCGGGTTCAAATTTCAGGTGCTGCGAACCTAAAGTTGATTATGGCTGATTTATGACGACTATTAGGCCAGATGTGGCTATTCCAGTCTCCTTTGTCTTTGATAATAAAAGAGAAGAGGCGAGTTCCAGGAAGTGGTCGCAAAGGAGACAAAATTGCTGGAACAAGAGCTCTATAAGCCTAACGCTTCGGAGTCGCACTTTAATCTGTAGTCGTTTACCGGGCCTGTTGCAGTTTTAGACAAAGCAACCATGTCAGAAACACCGGAAGACTACTCCGGACGGGGGCGGCCGAGCATGCAACAGTATTGAGGAGGAAAGACGGCAGCTCCCAAGTCACCACTCATTCGACTGGACCCAACCATACACTTCAGTTTGACGAAGGAGAGATTCATGCTAGAGGCAACGTCCCCGTGAGCCGCGAACTGCCGAATCATGGTCTTCCGGTCCTCAGTCAACCAAAGGCGCAGCGATCTCCCCGCTCCACATTCGACAATGAGACTTTGCCTAGGTAAAATAATTAGCAGTAAGGAGGGCGCGCGGATGATCAGCGTTTCTGATGTGAATGTCGAAGAGCCAAATTGCCCAAAGTCCACACAAGTGACAAGATCCGGCAGTCAGCAATTCGACTGCGTGCGATGAGAGAGGGAACCAATAATCTTGACCGGCACACAAGGGTATAGCAATTGCATACTTCAACACCTGGTCAGTCGACTAGCAATGCACTCGGGAACTGTCACGTAGGCATGTAGCGGCCTAGCAACCATATCCTATAAATACTGCAATACCTGGGCAATTTGCTACCCTTATCGGACTCTTTCCCTGACAATGGATCAAACTAAGAATCCGGAGCGTCAGGCTGATGAAGCCCTCGTTCCAGCGATCGTGTCTCCTCCCTTGTCTTCGTCTGTGATTTTCATCTACATATGTTTCTGGTCGCTAAGTGACTGTCTGTGACGACTTTACATTAAACCCCACGACGCAAAGGGACACGTAAGTCTCGCAACCCGATCGGTGAGCGTCCTTACTACGATAATGGTACACACCAGTCTGATCATTATTTAGGGCTGGCGCGAGTGCTCAACTCAGTTTGGAAGTCTAGGATGATCCGTGAAGTGTCCGTCCGTGTTCTACTGTCACATTTTTCCAGATAAAAGACCAAATCGAGACCAGCTAAGATGTTACACTTTATCCTCACCTGTGTATGCCCGACTGAAGGCCTTATGCGCAGCGACATGAAGCCGGCAGCAGGAGTGGTGGTCGAACAACCGAAAAAAATCCACAGCAGATTTTCACTAAAAATCGCAAGTACAACTGGAACCTACGATACTGAGACCCCAAAGACAACAAAAGACTGGAGTGGCAGTAAAAGCTGGGGGTCACTCTCCGGCCAAAGACGTTCAGTACAAAACATACGCGATTAAGCAAAGCATTTGGGATCGTTTTCTGACGAAGGAAGCACTGAAAGGAGTCACTAAAGACCGCACTAAACACGAATGTATATGCATAGTGATAAAAGGGGGTATGAAGGTATAAAACCGCAATACTATCTATAAAGAGATTAGAACATACAAGGGATACAAAAATACAATAAACTTATACACGATTCACTTCGAGTCTGTGAGTGCTTCTGTCATGCCTGCAAGACTACCGGTGGGGTTGCAACTCTTTGGGCTACTTCAGGGAAGGGCTGTGAAAGGGTGCTAACGGCGAACATCGGCGTGCATCATGCACACGCGAGACAAACAGGGTAATCCGACTACGGATTGATAATTAAACTGTACCAGTCATGGGTTTTACATCACATCTGACACAACCCTCCTACGCTGCACAGGACTTGCCACATCCTCCTTCAAGTAATAGACAGCATGATAGGGGTTGCAGGGTTCTGGTGTGCATTGGGAAAATCACGTAGCCGGACGTAGTGGCAGACAAAGCTAAATAGCCTCTCTACGCGCACCACACGCGATACACATGCACCGGGCTACTGTTATGGCGACTCGGCATGAGTGAGGGTATCATAAGGCCCGCATTCAAAAGGAGCCATTGCAGCCTGAGTCCCAGTTCTAAGAAAAACGAAATTATCATATCAGTTGGCAATCTCCAAACCGCGACTCCTAGCTCGTCGCGGTAGATGATAGTGCGTCGGAGTTAGTGTTGTATGGACTGCGCCGATGTGCTGTGAGGGTAACATCCCCAGTGCATGCCTCATTCTCTCTTCCTCCCACCTCCCCATGCACCAACTGGCTGTACAATTCTGCCAAGAAACTGGCGATAGAGCTGAGCGCAGTTGGTTCATCGCGCGCAGCTGGGAGCGATTTGAGTATTTCCGGCATTTATTGTTTATTTAGTCATATAAGGCTACCCACAGCATTTGAGTAGTGGTTCCGCGCGTTCATAATTTTCGTTCAACAACCTAAATGGCTGTTTTGAGAGGGTATGCAATCGATATCAAAAAGTCACTCTAGCTCCTAGCCCCAACCCCACTCTGATGTCGCTGTGTGCACTGATTTCTTGCAAAAGCGTGCCGCGTACAGTCGGCTCGGTCTTTTTTGATGTAGGCGAGGCGATATGGTTAGCAAAACTTCAATTGCCTCTGCGAGAACGACTTCCCATCCGCCTCTACGGCACAGTTCCTTCTGAGCGGTCTCGTCAAAACGGCTCCCAATACGATCATCGCTCCTTGAAATCAAGTTTGCGCAGCAAGCTAAAGCCGTTTTTAAATAGATGAAACATTTATGAGTGAGGTCGACCTTAAGAGAATAGAGCAATCACGCATAACTACATAGTGAAAAAGCAACTTATCACAGGATACATGGGAAAATTTTGGAGGCCTTACCATGACAGCCTACGTCTGAGGTACGTCACACGCAGATGCAACCGTAGAACGGGCCACGTGATAGATGCGCTGAACCAATCCGGGAACTAGATCGAAGTCCGACAAGTATTGTCGGGAATTCGCACTGGGGTGCGGTGGCACGCCCAGTCGTCGGCTGACGTCACGCCAATTGGAATACGTGCCATCCCCGCCCCTTTTTGTTGTTGTTTAAAAACCCGGTTAAATATTTGTTATTTACGAGGGGATGTAGTGGTACGCCCCTAGGTGCGGGTTTCGTCGCGTCAGCCACCCGCAGTCTCTCCTGCTTCCCGTCTTCTTAACTCTGTCATGACACCAGACCCAGGCGGGGGAGGAGGGGAGGGTGTGGCAGATGCTGAGCAAGTCACCATCCCTGCTCCAACCCTGCTGTCGAAATCGACGGTAAGACTGTCGTGTGGACCTACCGCACTGCGAATGCCGAAATTCGTTAGGAGTGCGTATTCCTGATAACGCCTGCCAGAATTCGATGTAACCCCGTGTTGGTCCAACGTATCTACCGCGTGGCCCGTTTAAGAGGCAAAAGAAGGGATATAATAATACAAGAATGAACGGCGCAACGTGAATAGACTATCCATCTCGAATGTAGGTGGTTCTGCTGGAGAATGCGGGGACGTGAGCAATGACAGGAGAGAGCCGTGGTGTGCCGAGGACAGAGGAGGCGCTTACAGCACCTTTTATAGCCCCCAACTGCATCTTCGCCCGGACAAACAGTCTTAATGAGGCTCTTCCCGTTAAATTATCTCTTGATCTTCCAAACCCAGTCTGACCAGTCAGTCAACTGCAAATCAATTCCCCCACCTTTCCGTTCTTTGCATGCCGATGATCTGAGATAACCTAACAGCTGCTAAGGCATTAAGTATGCTGTTGATATGGTTGTTGGTCATCCCGCCGAAAATGAGGTTGGTCTCCAGCCTCCCAAGAAAGGTTTCAGTCAGGTCTAGGCATCCCCTCCATGGCGAAGTTCAATCTTTCCAGTACTTCGGTGTTCCCCGTCCTCCCCTTTCGCATCCTCCTCCCTCCGACGTCAAATCCTTCCTTAACAAGAGGCCTACATTACCACATCACATTCGACGTCTACGTACCTATCACATCTTCCAGCCCTTAATCCGGCGATAAGTAGATGCTTGCATTCTCCCACTTATGCGTGACTATTCAGCTGTCATCTTTGCTGCAGCAAATAGAGGGCATTTTTTATTTGAGACGTATACTTCGCATGCTCCTGGCGTTTTTCTGGTCGACAACGTGGTGCGACATTTTATGACATGCAGAGATTTTTGGTGACCTTGATCGCGTGTCTCACTCTGGCCTGACTGCTGCGAAGTCACTCAGTCTAGCCTATTGTGGCTTCCGCATCCCGTTACATCACTCTCGGCTGAAACGCCGGAGCTGAGATTAGGCTTCGCATCTTGCATTTGGTGACTGGGGTGTTTTTCTGAAACGTTCTCAAAGGGGCTTATTCTCCACCCCTCTCTCACTACGCATACGACCCGTCTGCTAGAACACGTCGACTCCCCTTCCAAGCTAGCGCTAGAGCGTCGCCTGAGTTTGGAAGCGACGAACGCCCAGTTAACTCGCCAAGACTATAGCCACGTGAGGCTGTCAGTCCAGCTGCGGGTTAACCCACGCGTTCACAGTCTTCGATGACGGCTGGCTGCGGAGTAAGCAGTCGCCGGCAATGCAGAAGGAATATCTGCACTCGTGGCTGAGCACCCACCTGGGAAAAAAGAGCCATCCCCTATTTTCCAGCAAAGCGCAGCAGTCGATGTCGCCCAGATGAGGGCGGCTGATTGCTTTACTGTGTGAGAGTCGATGAACAAAGGGCTTTTTCGTGAAGCTTTTGAGACGCAGGCGGAGAGCGCCATTCTCACGTGGTGTGAACTGTGCCCCCCACCCCCCCCCCGCTAGGCGCGTCTTCATGAATTGGACGACAGGTAAGGGCCACACCTACCCAGTGCTCGCCCACAAGAATGCAGTCAATTGGTGCTGCGTTCCTCGGTTACTTGAATACTACATCAGCGACGTGTTCTAAGAGCACACCGGCCAGCCACCATTACCACACGTGTTACATTCCCCCAGTAGTATTTCATCAGTCCTTTCGTGGGACAGAAAGCCGACAGAAGGGCAGAGAACGACCTTACTGCGACAGTCGTTGTGCGTACATCAACTGTCCAACCCTTCTGTCCAGGGCATCATACTTAAGGACAATGTCTTTCCCCGATTCGCGTATTCTCGTTGGTTGTCATCTGAGCGTCAGTGTGAGTAGGCCCTCAAGGGATGTTGGCACCGGAAGGTCGTGTACGGTCAGACGGCGCGCTGATTAGAGTGGGAGCTCGTTAGACGAGACTGGCCTGCGGCTTGATGGTCCCCGCTGCGCGTGAACACCGGACGACATGAATGATGCGCTGCGTTCTGGGTGGCCCTAACAGGGATCACCAATGGCAAACCAGTGGGGGACCTGATGGATGGCTGGATTTACTGTGACGACCCGCTCATCTCAGTCCTCCGCAGCAAAGTATACGACTTGGCGTTGGCGACCATATATCGCATGTATTTACCAGTCTCCAGAGTTGACTTTCATGATACTGACAAAAATATCAATCGTGTTCTTTGGCCCCAAGCAGACGAGACAAGGAAGATAGGACATCATGTCGCGAATGACCTCATCTCCTGACGTCTGTCGGAGCAGCCAGACACCACCATAACGGATAACGAAGTTAGACCCTGGTGTTTTGCCTGTGCCCGGCACAAGAGCAATTACAGCCCAGACGGAAAGTAGAAACAGTGCGCATTGTTAATGATTGAAGGCTCAAAGCCTTGACTGTATACCTACCAGTAGACTACGGATTTCCTCTCTGGCGAAAAACGTCTGTATGTGTACATGACATCCAGTCCACTGGAAGAACTCTGGACACTTAAGTTGCCGCAAACGTAAGGCAGACCCAGTAGGTCCTTGTCAGGGAGACTTGAGGGAATATGTTCCAGGCGATGAGCGAGGCCCGGCTCGTAAGGCGACGGTGGCGCGTGACGTACTCCTACAAACCAGGCAACATTTGCCTTGTCGTAATATAGCTCCTTTTATGGGTAACAGCCTTGCCAGGCCGGTGTCCAGACATGCGAAGACATTGCCGCTTGCACGGTTCACAACTGCCTATTCGCTGAAGAAGGGGGGGGAGACTGGGTACAGAATGCTGGAGCGTAAGAGCTCCTTGCGCGCCGGCGGCGCCGAGCTCTACCACGCGGACTCTGACACAGTACAATGTGGACGCTACTCGCCTACGCTTGACTTGTCATGGCTCGAGCCGCAGGGGCCGAGATGCGCCTCCGCCTCTACAAGGGCGGTATCACTGATAACACTGATTTAAATGGTGCCGCAGCCGCTCTGGCTAACCAGGCCGAAGCTTCGCTTATGCAAAGGAGGCCGACGTCATGGAAGACTGCACTTGTGTGTCTTCGTGGTGCCGACGTCAGTGTTGCAGTTGTTGCGGTGCACATAAAAACGTAGGATAGTGACGAGACGCAAGTAGCGGCTTCCTATGACAGGCTCAAGACCGTAACCAGGCGTGTCTCAGGAGAGGGGAGTATGAGAAGGTCGCGCACCCTTCCCAACTGTCCCTTGGAACTCGCACCTTCGTTCGTACCAGAATGTGGTGCGTCTGCGAGGCAATGGTCACAAGTGAACATTAGGAAAAATGATGTGCCAGTATTCTTGTTGTGAACAAGATGGGTCAGGTCTTCAGAACACAGTTCAACAAACTGTTTATCTGATGCATCTCCCAACTTCCTCAATTTAAGTCGGCAAGGCTTCAACAAAAACTGTTCCAATGTTCATGTCTGTAGTAAAATCGGGTTTTGGGCTAACAAGGCCTACAACACGACTGTATGAAATAAGGCCTTAATAATGTCCTTCTAAGAGGAGTAATGGGCTTTACATAACTCTGTAATAAAGGTTAGAACTTACGGAACTCAGACGAAGCAACTGGGGCAGAACAATACTAAGCACAAAAGAAGGCGGAAATATATTTACAGGTGAGCAACAAGTGAAGTCAAAAGTCATCTGAAATACAGTGGGTTAAACGTGACCCAATGGGCTTTCGGCTGATTCAGAGCTTCTTTCGATGTTGTAAACAGCGACTTATAGACCGATGACGCGTTAGGGTCATCCTGTATAGATCCGTTGTGATGATTTGACGGCTCCTCCTGCCGCTCCTCCTCTTTCTTCTCCTTCTTTACTGGGACTGGGTGACTGGAGTCGGCTGTGCGCTTTCCGCCAGCAACTGCATCAGAAGTCTTCTTTTGGATTTTAGACGAAGTTGACTGTAAAAAAGAGGGAGACACTTTTTTGGAAAACGTGGCAATTCTGGTACTTGGCTGGTGTTATTAAAATGCAGCCTCCATGTCGGACTCTTGCGCCCTCGGTTGTTTTAAATTGTTGTTGCGCAGAGGACACTCGCGTTAGGATTCCGTGGGATGTTCAGTGTCCAATGTGACCAGAAACGCGCATCATGAAGCTTCCCAAGGGTCCCATAACCAATAATAACTATAGCAGGTCGCAGGTTTTGACACGTAGGCAAACCTAAGTGCTGGTTCCAACCGACTATGAGCCACACTGTCAAGTGGTTTGGTATATATGTTTGCATGTTGAACCCCAAACGCAGGGGTGAGTGTTTGTTAGGCCAGCAAACGACTACCAGACGAGCGGCGAGCTGAAGAATATCTGGCTGCATGTGGGCTCTTTAGTAAAGTGAGTAAGCAGACGAAAAGGATGCGATGAACGGCACACATAGCATCTCAAAAATACCGCAAGTTCGAGTACGGCACTGTGGAAGTAAAAGCGTTCACTCGTCTTCCCTCTCAAGCGGTTAGTTTCCGACAAGCCCGAAGTTACGGCAAAAACCTCGAACAAGCGAGACGGGCAGCCGTTGGGGAACTAGAAGGGGCAAATAAGTACATGTCTGGCGTTTCCTCCCCTCCCCAGCCTCCCAACGATTTATTTCCGACTGTCTTCAATAAAAAAAACCGGAGCCGGGAACAGATACACAATCGTCAGCAGCATCAGCATCCTGGTCAGAAAGCGTGGCTTAGAAGTCCACTGTTAATCGCAAATGAACAGCTGTCAAAATGACCGCGGGTCTATGCATCGGGGGCCTCCCTGCTACGAATATTACCGTGCTGAATCGCTCGAGTGACCAGTCTCAGACTGGCCTGGAAATTAGTTTGTTCCCGGGTATGTTGCTGAAATTTAAAAGCGGAAACTCTGGGTGGACATATGATCTGTCGAACAAATTCCCCGCGCGTTGCTGACAGTCGCAACATCGACAGAAACGAGGAGGCTATTTCCAAAAGGTAGCTCAAAAGAATAAGGAAATGAGGCGACTGCTGAAACGCGATGTTTATTCGCCAGAAGTTGCGGATCCTCACTCAAATCCATCAGAGGCAATCGGGAAAAGAATTATAGGGGCACAAGGGGTGTAATGTTTATAGAACGTAAGTGCCATGCAACCACATGGGTACTATAAATAGCAGCTTATCTTGACTGTCCCTGATGATCGGCTCGAGTTACAATTCGAAACGTTAAACGAACAGGCTTCTTCTGAGTCGCGATTTTCTTCAACATGGTTTACTTGCAGTCACGTCGATTCCGACTGGTCCTGTAGGATCTATTCCGAAGTTGGCTGAGTCTTCAATCATTACCTTGGATTGCCCTCGTTAGCAAGACTCCCGTGAATTGAGTCAGCACCCCGTAAGCAGCAGACTATGGACCAGAGATGCTGTACAGGTATTTTTATGTATTCAAATTCTATGGCTTCAACTAGCCATCTTGACGGTGTCAAAACTAAAATTTGAAGTGAGGTTCCGAAAGGTTTCGCTCTCAGGTTAAAAGCTGATTAATTAGTGACTGATAATGCAGAAGACCGACTGTCACCAACCGAAGGCAAAGTGATCAATATGACAAGTTCAGGGGATAAAGCCTGACCCCAATGCATCCAGCACTCGATCGCCGAAGTCATACTGCACAATAACATGTAACGGAACACCGAAAGGTGCCTGCGGTGTGACGCGGCGGCAAAACCCATGATGGATATGACAGTTGGCTGAAATCTAAAAGCTCCTGTGCATACGTCGCAAATGGCATGTGCGAATCTAATGAAGCCGGAACAGTAAACATCCGAGCTGATGAATCAGTTGTTTGCTTTCAACCAGACACCAATTGCCCTGGTGCACAACGTGTCAAACTGAGGTGGGTTGCTCCACAAAATTCGCATAGGACGGATTACCCGTCTTAAACATACGCCTTGGATAAGGGGCTAACAAAGACGACCGAAGGTGTTACGAACTGATAAGCAACGATGAACACGAAATGTCATCTTGCAGTTTTGCGGACATACGATCTCAACACTTGCGTCTAAAATTAGATATGGACGGCTAGCATGGCCTTAGTTGCAGCAAGCACAAAATAACACGCTGGACGCCCATCATGTAAAGATTACTTTTTCACTAGAAATCGTACCACTCTAGAAGGGTCAACTGGAAACGGAATGAAAAGATACAAGCTTCCAGTCTAATTCTTACAATCTCCGGTAACAACATGAAATCTCGTTGGGACCCATATCATGGAGGTTTAGCCCACAAAACTGACTAAATGAATGACAAAACGAACCTTTTTACTCGATTCCTTTGAAGCACGGAGGCGATCCAAGGCAATTTTTTGATCCTCTTCGGATTCGGGATTTAACAAGATAATGTCTTTCGGTTCATATTTTTTGCTGCACTAAAAATAGAGAATGTAATAACTCCGATCAGAACTACTAAGGGTAAGGGATAGTTCATTTAGAAGGAGAACACTGGAGGATGTTTAAAAAACTTAAGAAATTGGAAATCCTGGGCAAAGTTTGCTTTTTAAGTGCAACGGCTGACTGTCATGGTGCAGCACCGCGAGAACGGATAATACATTTGGAGTCCAGTAAAATAAACCACCAGACAGGCATGTATACGTCGATGGAAACCGAATGCGCGTTTTCACGTCATTGATAGGCTAACCGACGGTGGTGCGGGAGCATACAGAATCTGAATAAGCGAATATTACCATTCTTCTGAAAGTTGAATGAGAAATGTCGTGACCACGAAAAGGTCCAAGCGATGAAAATTAATTCAGATAGAGAGAGCACAAAAAACGACTGAAACTTTTGCTCGCAAAGTTTACCAACGAGGCAGCTAACATACTCGCCCGGTTGGTGAAGTTAACTAAAACGTTCATTCACTTGACTCGGCTTCTGATTCAAGCCACCGAGTCAGTGAGCAACTATACTTTAATTTGGCCGTGTAATACGTCACGAAACACCAGAAAACTCCATTCAATTAAATAATTAAAACAGTCCCCATAGCAGCTCAAAATCCACTACACACAAAATCGTTTTAGTGTCGTACAACATACATAAATACCATATTTTGCCTTTGCTTGCTTGCTTGGTACGGCTGTGATCATGCTTGATCTAGCCGGCCCCGATGATGCCCCATGTTGACGTGTCATAGGCATAACGACGTTGCCAGCATAACCAGTATAACCAGGATTCTCAACTGTGTCCTACTCCGCCGCAATCCAACTTTCAGTCTTAACAATCCCTATACGGTAGTTACGGGTAATAGTTGTAAGTAGTGAAACAGTGACGGTGGTTAACTAAAAGGAGAAACAAAAAAACTGGTCTCGTTAGCACAGGTTATGGTAAAGATGTCAAAGATTTCAGTGACCATGAACACGGTTGGCCAAGTCCCACTCGAAAAGTCTAAACAAGGCCACTATGACAGCGCCGTGCAAAGATGCAGCGTATTGTCTGATTCAGTTAAGTATTGTCCATGAGTAGAGAAGAGGCTCTGTAATATAAAACGGCAATGGACGAGACCTCATACTTTAAAAGCATGCATCCTTAAGAGAGGAGTGTTGAAAGGTTGCTTGCAATCTGTCCTAGCAAAAGGACGATATAACTACAAGATTCTTTTTCAGCATAAATAAGAGCACAAAAACAAATCAGGACAGTGCATAGAAAACAGGGGACTTACAAGTAAACACGCACTGTCCTTCACGGCGTCCAACGCACGCTTCGAAACAACACAACCGCAGACCCAAGAGAAAACAAAAGGATAGGATCCATTCATTTCAATATTCATAATAGGACAGCAAAATTTTTCAGATTTTCCTTCCGCGGAAGGAATGGTGCCCGTAGAGGTCTGACTTTCGGAAGTATCGGGTGTTAGTTTAAGTTCACGAACGTCTTTAAGCCTCTTTATATGATCTGCCGCTTTACTAGAGAATTTGTTACTGTCCAGCAACTTTTCAATGATCGCCTCCTTGTTGTACAACCTGTACGCATCTCAGATTAATGGAAGGATATGTCTTACCTCCCTAACTTGCACGCAACAATTGGTTGGCGGAGTGGTTGTTCACTTAGCGCGCAGTGCTTCCATCGCGCAGCGTTAAGCGCTGATCTTTCGGCCTTTTCTTGCTCTTTTTTGTTCCGCACAAGTTCGACACGACGGGGTATACTGCCGCCGTCACCACCCATTTTATTACTACAGAAGGCCCACCAGACAAACAAACACGAAAGTGGCGCCCATCGTTCGAGTTGACTTAAGTCAGTTTAAGTCAGTTTATTAAAGGAAGGAGGCTTTCGCCCTTGAGCTCCCTATTCATATCGATAAACAGATATAAAGTCATCAATTACATCAGCAAATGCGAAAAGTTAAGAAGTTAGCGGTAAGTGTGAGCTAGGCGCAAACTGCCGCCGCTAAAACAATCATTATTGTATGTACAGTAGGTTCTCAACAAGTGAGCGTCTAGTTGCACTTGAAGGATTTGACACTTTCGGAAAGAACGACAGCGTCAGGGAGTCCATTCCATGCCCCGATGACCCTGTGAGAGAAGGCGTTCCGTCGGACGTCCGAATGAGCCCGCTTCCTTTGCAGTTTGAACGGATGACCACTCAGACGGTCAGTCCGGGCCAATTCAAAGAATTCATCAAAGTCTAGGGCACACTCACGGCTTCTGACAATCCTGTAGATTTGAATGAGATCGCCGCGCAGTAGCCTGTAATTTAGAGGAAAGAGATTTAGTACGGTCAGCCTGGTTTCGTAAGGCAAATGATGAAGATTCTTGACCATCTTCGTAGCCATCGCCTGTACTCTTTCCAGTCGTTGATAATCTTTCTTTAACCACGGTCGCCAGGCCTGGACTGCATATTCTAAGTGAGACCTGACGAATGCCCCATAGGTTTTTCCGAACAGTTCCTTGTCGATCTGCACAAATTCTCGCCTCAGCGCAAATAACACCCTTATCGCACTTTTGGCTGCCCTTTGACACTGTGATGATGGTTTCAGCGAGGAGGTCATTAGGAAGCCCAGGTCTTTCTGTTCCACAAAATTTGAAAGGGGCTGACCACCAAGGACGTATTGAAAGGAATCGTCCTCCTTACTGGTCCGTCTGGTGCGGAGTCTCAGGACCACACATTTTTCCACATTAAAATTGAGGAGCCAGCGAGCTGACCAACTGTTTAGGCGGTTGAGACTGTCTTTAAGCGCGTACCTGTCTGCATCAGATCTGATGGGTCTCCACAGCTTAACATCCTCAGCAAACATGATGGCGTTGCATCCCAGGTCGTCGACGCAGTCGTTAATGTAAACCAGGAATAGCAACGGCCCTAAGACGGAGCCCTGGGGTACACCACTTAGAACGGGAGTAGGAGTTGACCTTGAGGCCTCAATGCACACGGTTTGCGATCTCCCAGTAAGAAAATCTGTAATCCATGTCAGCAGCTTTCCTCTTATCCCAATTTCCGAAAGTTTGTAGATTAGGCGTTTGTGTGGGACGCTGTCGAACGCCTTCTTAAAGTCTGTGTATATGACATCAACCCTCCCATCCTCATCCAGTGCGCGAGTCCACTGCTCCGTCGAGAGCAATAAACTGGAAAGACACGAGCGGATCTGTCTAAAGCCGTGCTGCAGGTCTGAGATTAAATGGCCCTGCTCCAGGAACTCCATAGTTGCTTTCTTAACTATGGCCTCCCTTATTTTACAGCAGATGCAGGTTAGACTAACAGGCCGGTAATTGTTAGCATTAGTGCGAGCCCCGCCCTTCTATATCGGAAAGATATTTGCTGTCTTCCATTCCGATGGCAACCTCCCTAATTCGAATGACGAGCGAGATGTGTGCCAGTGGTTTGGAAAGTTCATTCGCCAGTTCCTTCAAGAATTTGGCCGGTATATTGTCCGGACCCGAGGACTTTGCTTCCTTGAGATTTTTCATCTCCCTTTCCACGACAGCTGTCGGGAACAGTATGGAGTCAAGCACGCGATTAGCAGTCTCAACAGCATTGCTAGTACTGCGACTGCAAAACTCTGTTTCTCTAGTAAAAACCGAGGCAAAATACTGTCCTAAGTGTTCGGCTTTCTTGCTGTTTTCAGTGATCTCTACACCATTACCATACTTCAGCACCGCGACCGGGTCCTTATTTTTCAGTCTACTGTTCAGATAGTGAAATAAAATCTTAGGTTTCTGTTCAGCCTGTCGTATAATTTTGGATTCATACTCCTTCCGTGCATGACGTATTTTTTTTTGACGGCATTTCGTTGACGACGAAATTCTTCGAAATGCGCTGATGACGCAGTTTCCCTGAATTTTTTCCATCTTTTGCTTTTCTTTCGTAGCTGCCTATTTAGGTCCCTAGTTAACCAAGCAGGTCGACTAGTTGTTTTTTGTACTTTAGGTGGACAACAGCGCCTAATCAGATCGAATGAAATCGTTTTAAAAGATCTCCAGTCGTCCTCCGGATCTCCCCTGAGTATTTGGTCCCAATTCACAGACAGCAATTCGTTCTTCATCATATTAAAATCTGCCTTCCATATATTAGGTTGGCCCTCTGTTCTCTTCTGGCGTTTAGAGAAGAGCGTCTGGCGAAAATCTTCGAACGCTTGTAAATGGTCGATATTCTTTCCGCGTTCTCCGTTGACAGCGTTTTTTAAGGGATTCAGTAGTTTCGAAGTAACACAGCTACCTCAGGTTCTTTTTGTGAACTTGGCGCACCGATTAAATTTCTAGCTATTCAAACTTCAGGGCATGGCCATCGTTCAGATTCCCCAATCTGACCTCGCTTCTCTATGTCTGAAAATTCTTCCGAAGAGGTTAGGATGGATATGTTTTAAAAAACCTAAAATTTCAGATATAAGTTCTGCAAGTGCTGTGATTGAAAGGCAGGCTGAAATTCTGCACAAGCACTGACGCAAATTTTGAATGCCTCTAAAAGTACCGATTAGACCTCGATTTGTGCATTAAAGCCATATAAAAGTTCAAAGGCCGTGTAAGACCGATATTTGCGCATTCCGACTTGTCCGGTATCCGACAGGGAATAGTGCGAACATTACGCCGCTTGGGCATGCTAACGTCGCGGGCACTAGATCAATGTTAGGTTTGCGAAACACATCGTGAGACATACGAACGGTGCGAATTTTGGCCTCTTCAGGTTGCCGCTGCCTGCGTTATACCCTTGAAGCCGTTAGAAGACGGAGGTGGCAGGAGCCAGCACGTAAAGTATGTCTCTAATATTTGGGATGCTCTCCTTAATCCAATTGGAGTAATCACACACAAGTAAAACGCAATATTGTGAGAATGCCCACGCCTGCAAATAACCATATTAGCGAGTGAGTTCTTCAGTAGGACAGCCAAAGTCAAATAAAATACAACGCTTTGGTTATATTTTCCTATGACGATCTAACCTGAAGTAACCAGAACGCGCCAGAAGAAGCAGGAAATTAATGACATAAAAAAGCCAGGAGAGAAAGGATGTAATTGCGAAAAATGTCGATATGAAAGATATCAGAATGTATTCGCTATGCAGAGTCACAACAAACGAACCTCCTCTTGACGAACGCACTGGAATATTGTTCTATAATTTATGGGTCGTCATCGGTTGCCTGTGGTAGCGCTCTCTGGATATATGAAGTCTCGACAGGAGTACGCCAAAAGTAAGTTGTCAGTATAACATGAACGCGTGTAAGGTTTAGGATGAGATTTCAAAGTAAACTAAATTCATTGAAAAAAACTTTGAATAAGCCTCCACCAAACCGACATTTTAAATGGTGTTCGAAACCAATGGGTAGATACAAAAAGATAGGAATGATAAGGAAGCCTTCAAAGAACTGATTAAATATCAACTTTGATAGGATTTACGTGCCGCAGTACCTGCCCATGCTTTAACCGAAACAAGTACTAACTCATATTATTTAGTACTTCACCAAATAGTAACGAACCGGCAACAGTTTATTTCAGTTATTCTTCTTGCGTCGCGCTTAAGCGCTTACTCAAAACTTAAATTGTTACGCAGGTAGACTTTTTAAGCTACAGTCGGGGTATTCAAATAAAAAGAACTGAGGCAGCATTTAGTTACGAATAGCAGTCAAGGAGAACACGTGGGCATCATAGACAACCCTTCCAATCGCTGCGTCACACAATCAAACTGGCGAAGTTCCTAGTCTGCGCCTCGAGCAAAAATACTTATGCACTGTAGACTTCCTTCCCTACAATAAGGCAGAAAAGCAAAGCTATTGTCTCAACTTCAAGCTGTGGACCTGTTGCCGGAATATTCGGTCTGATGTCTTCGTGCATTTGCAGACCGGACGATAAGATGGTCTCAAAAAAACAATATTGGAAATAAGATAGTTGCAACTTTCCAACTTACACTTAGATGTTGATGCATATTCCACATTTCCTTTTCCAAGTGATCGAGAACTAAAGGCAAAGCCCTTATAGTTTCCCGTCCAACTCATATGGGACGGCAATGTTTGTAAAATGTGATATCAATTGCATGCTTAGATTAATCGCGCATATAAATTATGCACATATTTACCTGGTAACAGTGAAAAAGGAGCGCCCAAAAACACAGTCAATTATTCTCAATACTATACCGTTTGTACTGAAAGATCGGACATTCACACTCGCACTAGACCTATCTGGAAGATGGTGCATCGAGCAGCGTGATTTAGAAGACAGCCGACTGACGCCTCAACTCAGTCCACGCAGTCTGCTCAGTCGTGTCTGTTGTGTGGAGTGGATGACTGGTGGGCTGGGAGTCAGGCTGGCACGGCCCTTTCCAAGCGATCTGTGACACTGTCATACATATGAGGGGAGTTTTGTGCTTGTGTGTGTGCTTTATGGGCAGGGCCTCACAGTCGAAGACCGTTTGGTCACTCAGTCTTAAAGAGTGAGGGCCAGGTGTCGCCCTTCTAGGTCAAAAGGTCCGAAAGCATTTGCTATGCCATTATCAGTAAGCCATGGCTTTCGCAGCCTGGTATGCGCTGTCAGTTTTCTGACACCTGGTTCCCTGCCAATAGATGCTCATGCGTCCCCGCTGGATATACAGGTGATGGGCATGGCCGCCAAGTCATCATCCTTGTTCTTCTGACCCCTTTGGGTTGTTGTTGTTAGTTAAAAATCCCAGGTAAGTGCATGTTGTGAACCAGGAGATGTGGTGGTACGCTCAGGTGAGAATCCGGCTGTGCCAGCCACCTGCGTCCT